GTAGAGAATAAAAAAAAAAAATGTAAGGATTAGCAGTAAAAAGTTGTCTAGAAAAATAATTACTCCAGTAACTCCAGAGAAAAAATCTCTCTGGTGTCCACCTACACACACACACACACACACACACACACACACAAGCTAGTGATCTTGATTCATAAATGTTCTCAGGTGTGCAGCAACACAGGTTGGCCCGGCCACCAGCAAAGTCCCTCTTGATGACATGAAGCTCACTCATATAAAAACAGCAAAACCTCAGAGACCCCAACAGTTTCCTTTTTTTTGTTTTAATTGAAAACCAAAACTAGCTAATTTTGAGTTTGCACAAACGTAATCAACCTCTACTCCATATTCTGCCTTGGTTAGCAGCCTGGTCTCTCAAGGTCCTCTCGGTGACTGGAAAATCATTTTACTGCCTGACCTGATGTTCACCAGTCATAAGTTACAGTTGCATCTAGTCCAATAAAAAAAAAAAAGATGTCTGTGAACATTGACCAAACATTGGAGTGGATTGGAATGTACTGCATAGCCTCTGCTAAATATGAAGGCTAATGCTATCTAAAGTAAACAAACTCACTCTCTGCTGTGAGCTAAAATCATCAATATAGAATAGAATAGAATAGAATAGAAAATCCCTTTATTGTCCCACAATGGGGTAATTCTGCTGTTTACAGCATAAGGAAAAAGATTATAGAAAAAAATGATCATACAAATGTGGACTTTAGAAAAAAATTATAAGAATAACATAATAGTGAAGAGGTAAAACATAAATAATAAAATATTGTAATGTAGAGTGTTTTAACAATATAACACTATGCACATGGACAATAAATAACCAATATACAGCTATGTACATTTTTACAGTAATGGATATTTCAAAATAGCAGCAACATCAGCAAAAGTGCAAAAATGACAGCAGCATGTTATTCACTGACTGAGGTAGAAAATCAAAATCAGTATGAATGTAACAAATAATTAAGGTTGTTGGGAACAGTGGTGGTAATAAAGTCTTACAGCAACTAAGAGGAAGGATCTGTGATAACGCTCCCTGATGCATTTAGGGTGCAGCAGTCTGTCACTGAAGGAGGTCTCCAGTTCTTCAACAGCCTCGTGCGTGAGGTGGGAGACATTATCCAACAGAGATGTTAATATCATCAGCTGACATTACAAATTCTACACATCTTACGTTTACCATTTCTAATTTCTTCCCGTGGAAGAGGTTTATTGAAGTAGTTAATTGTTGAAGCTGGTAAAAAGTGATGAGAATCAAGGTCTGTTCTCTAACTCTACATAAATAGATATGTTTTGCGCAAATGTTTGTTTAAATCAGCCCAATTTCTTTCCTATCAAGTTAAATTGATAATCTGGGATAAAAAGACAAATCAGACGTTTTTCAAACCAAAGTAATCAGAGGAAGGGAGGTCATAAAGTTGACTGGAGCAAATAAAGGATTACAGTAGATGACCCAAAAAAACAAAAAGAAATGTTTCTGATGCCAAAAGGCCTCTAGCAATTTTTATAACACATTTCTACTTTGGTACAAAGAAATATATTTTTTTCTCCAACTTTTAAACAATAAAGAAACAATAAACATTAGTGGATTAACTCATTCCTACACAAACTGTATAAAGAGGAAACGCAATTTAGTTCAATTCAGGTCTATGTTCTCTAACATTTACAAGTTTGACCTTATATAACCCCAGTGATGCTGATATTTAGAACATGTTCGTTCAAGCCTGTAGTGGGTAGCAGTTACAGGATTTTAATAAGAGGACAAGAACTGCCAGAAGGAGCGTTTGGTTGAGAACAGCAATATAAATGTCTCATGTAAAAACATCTTACATACACTCTGAGATTTAATGCAGAATGTATCAATCAATGAAAGCTGCCCCACTCAGGTTTCTATCCGTGCTAAGGTTATGACACACAGCAAAACATGTTGCACTATGCAATGCTTACTTTCGTGGTAAAGATGAACAAGTGAATACAGATTTTTTTAAGCTGTGTTACAAAACTTCTGTCATTGGGATCAAAAGAGGGATAGAGGCTTATTATTGAGCCAAATCCATTGATAGCGAAACACAATACAGAGACTTTCTATAAACCCGCCAGTGAACTGAGTACATCATGTGGTGTTCAGGGAGACTTATTTAAAGACGACATTCCAACAACTGCAGTTAGAGATCAGATCATAACTCCTGAATGTAAGTATGAAACACAATGTATTTGCGTGAAACGGAGAGCTTCGCTGCAGGCTCAGGAATGTTGGCACCAAGCATGCAGTCCTGACAGACAGCTGCACCGCTGTGGCGTTTTTAACATGCCAGACCAAGGATCCGAGGCTTGCTGGATCATTAAAGAAAAAAAAAAAATCCAAGTTGAAAAGAGATGCACTGAAAATGGGATTTCAGATTAAGGTGTCAGTGACTAATGGAGAAAAAGAGGAAAAGCCAGGCCTGGCAGGGGTTGGACGTCGATCATAGGCAGATTTATTTCGTTCCATTCATCAAATAGAAACTATTTTTTAATACATTTGGGGAGCTTCCCATATCCATGCGTGCTTAGTGTGATGGACAGAGTCCATCACAATTTTTTTCCTCCATGGTGGCAGTTTTTAACATGGGTTAAATGGCTGTATGAATATTTTTTTCTCCCTGAGATTTGCATAAAATTACTCATTTTCCTACATACGCCTCCATTGAGTTTTGCAAAACATGCATACCCCTAAAACTTTCTAGCATTTCATTACATAAAAATTGAAGAAAGAAATATTTCCTATAAGTTTTCCAGATTTTTCTGAAAAATTATATACTGGCCAGGAAGTTCAATTTGGTCTGGAGCACCATCTTTCACACATATATATTTGGTTAGAGTCAAAGCAAAATGACCTCCATTCCAATTGAATAACACATTAGATGCTCGTTTAAAAAACAAAAAACGAAAGCCATCCATCATTTTTCGTTTCACTTTACATTCATGAATGAAACTCACAATGACATGTGTGTCTTTCTATTAATCAATAGAACTCAATAATCCTTTCTTTGCCATGCTTTGAAAGAACAAAGCTATGAGTGGTAAAAGAATAAACAGACCAGGAAATTATTAGAAAATAAATTTTTTACTCATGAAAAAGTAAAAAAAGTAAAAAAAATCTACTTTATATTTCTGTCATTCAGAGGTGTAGCTATATGGGGGGCCATGGCCACCCTTAGCCAATCATTGGCCACCCCTGTGGCCACCCTTACCATTTTCCCCTCTAATACAGACGGTGACATTAGTAATACTCCAAAGGGGAATGTTCAAACTTATTAAACATTTAAAATTGTCATATATTAACAACTACTTGACAACAGAAACACTGCGGTTAATTATGCACATCAATATACAAACATTAAAGATGATAGATAAAGAATTTATGCTCTTTTCAGAACAAAATTTTGAAATATTTGGGGTAAAGATAAAATTATGTGCCTCTGCAAGTCATCTAGGAGTCTTCAGTGAAATCATGGATAAATAACTACTTTAATAATAACATAAAAATTCATTAAATGTGGATATTAGTAGATTTAAATATCTTTTTTTTTGAAGAATGATTATTGATAAAAGCATTTAATGGCAATTGAAATATGTTCTACCCAGAACTCAAATCTCAAAGAATTTTGTTTCTTTTTACACAGCATATATGGTTGATTCTTTAACTATGGGCACTTTTATGTCCTTTGGTCATATTTCGTGAAAAAAATTGAAAAACAGACATTTCAAACCTTTTTTAGTTATTTTTACAATGAAACTGTTATAGGACATTTGTTTTAGTAGTCTGTGATGACTTTTTCACCTTTTTTCAGCCTCATTTATATGTAAATATTACCGTTTTGTGCTTGTCCCACACCCAGACTTTTGATCTTAAATGATAAAAAATGAATAGTAAAGAAACATTCTTTTTAATATTTTAAAATATCATTGCATAAAATATCAGTAAAATAATCAAACTATAATTGGAGTATTTAATGTCATACAGCTGTTTATGTGATTTTCTAAACCAATTGTAGTTGTCCCACACTATTGTTTTAATTTCCACCACACCATTTGTTTTTAAATAAAGTGTTGCAAAATTCTAATCACTCATTAAAACCTTCTTCATAACTTAAGAGATAATGCTCCACTTTAATTAAAAACACAAGTATTTACACCTTGAAATGTATCTTGCGAATCCAATGCTATATCTCAGGTTATGGGGAACATAACAATAAAGGCATAAACAGTTAAAACTATATATGAAATTGTTCTCCCACTGAAAAAACATTTTGTGTATCATAGTATTTTAGAATAAATGACAAATATATGTGATGGAAATTACATTTGTGCCAGCCGAGTTGGGAAATCTGTTAAAAAAAAAAAATTGTTTCCTCTTATGAATCTTCAAACTAGGCTAGTTATGCTCACCAATTACATTTTGAGAACTTATATTTCATTATAATTTTTCTCTTCAAGTTTGCAAGCTCAATAGCGTCCGTAGTTAAAGAATCACCCAGATGTTTAAATATATGCAACTATTTGTTAGTAAAGGCTGCAGGAAAGTACAGTTTGTCTTTATTTAGAAAATATGGATGTTTTGCGTGTTCCTGTTGGAAGAGTGTAGATTGACCCTGAGGTTCTGGTGCCTTTCGGCCACCCCTCAACGTTCATTGTTTATTGACTGGCCACCCCTGTTAGGATTTTCTGGCTACGCCTCTGCTATCATTTTCAATTTAACTAGAGAATGTGTAGAAAACCCCATTTATTTTGGAAATTAAACCAATGTTCAGCTGATAAGGTCACCTTATTTGTGGGCAAGCACAAACATGAACGCGAACAACTTAACACTTCTGAGTATTTGACTCATCGTGAACTTTTTAAAGCTCCACTTTATTTCCCCTCATAATCACTCACCCGCAGCCTTCATTGCTCTCTGTGCGCCAAATGCCGCCTGGTGCGCCCTGTTTATTTTGCACATGTTCGGTGCCGCCCTGCAGACGCGCTGATATCACGCCGTTGCGTAATTTAACAAGCCAGTGCAAACCAGAGGAGGATGAGCGTTTGACAGCTTGTTGCGAGGGATTGTTTTCGATGCAAACATAGTCCATATGTGCTGAAATCATTGAGAGATCTTTTTATTTTTTAATCTGTCTTCCATATTAATGGCCGCAGCCGTGACCAATTCGTTTTGGGTTGCTCCGGGGCAGGACGCGCAGTTTGTCCATAAAACCCACCCAGCGGCGCCGCTGACATCATCCGACGGTTTTAGGGGTGAGGATCATGGACAAGTGCTTTGTAACGTCGTCCCGGGAATATCATCCTTCCCGGATTATAATCTGGTAGGTTGGCTGTATTTGAACTGCCTCACAGCATCACTGTATCTCTGTTTTATTTTAATTTTATATTTTTGTTACGCACTGATTCTGCGTTAAATAAATATTTTCATTGCAATCTAATCTAATCTAATATCGATGGCTGCTTGAGGATTAGTGCCCAATATGTGAGGTTGACATTCACTTGCTGTGCTGGGATGAATGGGATGTGCACCCGTCCAGAAACTTGTCCTGCCTATAGTCCTGCAGAGCAACTGGGTGTTCTAATTTCAGCTATGTATTTGGAAATAGTTTACATGCAGGCTGGAGCATTTGCATGGAGCTGCTTGTAAATCGGAGCTGTGGTTAAGATGACTTTCTATTGAAAAAAATCTTACTTTGGTAGACAGTATCCTACATGCAGGCCCCAAGGTGTTTTTGATCCTTTCCTTTTTAGCATGCAATGAAGCAAAAGCAGGAAAAAAAACCTCTTGATTTCACTTCTTGAAACCTTTTGTTACATACTAGAAATAAATAAAAGGTACTATTTTTGCAATTCTAGTCCTGGATTAAAAAAACAATCAGGTCATAATTCAGCTTTCTGGTTTAGATGTTTAAAAGTACCAATGTTTAACATTTGTGAAAATTAATGTCAGTTTAAAATGTATCACCAATCAGTAGCTTGCCTTTAGTAGCTACTTTAAAGCTCTCATATATTCATTTTGCATAAATCCGAATTAGTTGGTTATTATGGCTTTTCTGTGAGGAAAAAAAAGTTGAAACAAACTTCTACCATCTCAAAATGCTTTCAGTCTCAAAAACCTCATAATGGAATATGCTTAATCTATTCGACTGACATTTAAACCACTGTTTTGTTGTTTGCTTTTGATTGTTATTCACACACGGTAGTGGACCCAGATAATTTTCATTGGAGTGGCTTGGCATGGTCCAACACCAGTTTAGGATTAGTCTACACCTATCGCAATGTACCAACAGAAACATGAACTTGTAAAACATCAATATTTATCCATATTCAGACTATCATAAAGCCCTGGCTATTAAATCAATATGCATATTTATAAACTGGCACTGTTCTACATAATATACACATTGAATTGGTTGAGAAGTGGTTCTTCATTGCTAATATAGAAGACTACCCTCCCATAAAGCACAAAACCTAGCTCTAAAAACACAAAACTTAGCACTAATTCTTTAAATGTCCCATTTAGTATTTAATGTAGATATTTAAAATGTTACTGTCATTGTTTTGTCAATTTATTGTTAATATAATGCCAACTGAAAAACCAAGTATCCCTGCTGCCACCCTCTGTTTTAGAGGTGAACTGCATGTTCTGGAGGTTGTAGTGTGTTCCAATGGGTACAACAAATCACCAGGTTTGGGTGGCCACTCATTGGCTTTATCAGGGCCTTTAGCTCCGCCTCTGTTCACACGAAAGTTGCCAATTTACATGTTAAAATTAACGTAGGAATGGGTGTCACCAGCGATTTTCTTCTGTGAAATGTGTTACAAAAATCATCTAAAGCTTTCAATTACCATTATGATACCTGCTTGAAGAGATTTCTGATTTAATGGTTTCCTCTGCTAGTTCAATGAAATGTATAAAGGATGGTCAAATTGATGTCTTGTTGCAGAAAATTTCTTTTCATACTAAAAAAAAAAAGTCTGGTTGGAAACAACCACCTCTGCAAAAGTACAAAATTGAATTCAATTGAATTGATCTGAATGAATGACCACCAGCCGGCCAATGTCTAGCCCTTTTGTTCCCGTGTTTGACTAAAACCAATCCTCCATCTAAAGTGCATAATGCTGTTATTTGAGTTAAAAAGTAAAATGTATTTCCCTTCTGCTTTTTTGACCAGGTTAAAGCCGAGATGGATGCCTACATACATCAGGATACAGTAGATACCAAAATGTTTGACAAGGATGGTGCCTCTATGCTGGAGCCATCATTTATTGAGGACTTCGCCACTTCTTACAGCGTCAACATGAGCCTGTTCCTCCCTGATGCATCCTACCTGCACCCTGGCCTATGCCGGACTGTGAAGCAAGTCAAAATGGAGCCACAGCCCTCCCTGATACACGCCACCTGCCAGGGCAATGAAGCACCAGCAATGCTGCCAGAGTACTCAGGAATGTATAAAGCAGTTGACAGTCCAGGTAATTTTTTCATCAAGCAGGAAGCACCAGAATTCCAAGAGATTCCCCAGTTTCAGATGCTGAACACTGATTTAGAGCAGGACTCTTTCCCCATCACACAACTAAGTCTTCCAGTGAGGAATCTAAACGTAAGAGAACTATCCAGCAGTTCACTGACTGTGACTGAGTGTTTTCCATTTAATCATCACTCTGGCCATCAGTTTAGGTCAAATTATTTGCCCCCATCTCCGCCAACTTCTAAGCCTCCAAGTCCAGACGTAAACAAGGAGCTCCTTCATAACATCTCCCCTCCTCCTTCCTATGAGGCCAGCATTGCCTCCAAGACAACACTTCAGACCCACAGTTCCACTGGATCCAGACAGACTTCCGGCAATTCTTTGAGTAAGAACCTCGACCAAAATTACACTCCTAAATTCAGCCGTAGTCCGGTTGTTGGAGCGGTTCAAAACTTGAGCCTGGCACCAGCTAACACAGCTCCATGTGTTGGCCCACTGTCTCCAGAGTTGGCCCAGTCTGCTCCGGTCAAGTACAACCGGAGGAATAACCCTGATCTGGAAAGGCGCAGGATACACCACTGTAATGTTGAAGGTGAGAATATGAAGCGGTACTGGTGGCAGTTATGATAGGACTTTGTAAAATGTATATCTAAAAGTAGTTATTCTCTCTTTTGAAGGTTGCAAGAAAGTATACACAAAGTCTTCTCATTTAAAGGCTCATCTACGGACCCACACAGGTAGACTCCTTTCAGCTCCACATCTTCTAATGGGAGGGAACATGATGATGTTGCCAGGCAGAGAAGTTTTCTTGGCTTGCATGTTCATTCTCTCTGGCCCACATCTTGCTGCTGTCAAATCACATAAACCCTCCAGCTCTCATAAAGAGAGGGGAGGTGGTAGATGCATGCAGTGATTTATAGCCCACAGATGAGGTGTACTATCAATTTTGTTCTTCTTTTCCAAACTCCTTTATTAGATGTGTGCTGTCAACAAAGTGCTGATATCCTCAAGGGACGATGGGGAGGGGGGGTAAATCCCAAAAAGTTGTGGAGTATGCTTTAGCTTCTCTGTTTGATTTGTACTTGGCAAAGGTGAGAAGCCGTACCAGTGTTCCTGGGAGGGATGCGAGTGGCGCTTCGCACGCTCTGATGAGTTGACACGACACTTCAGGAAGCACACCGGGGTGAAGCCTTTCCAGTGCGGCGTGTGCAGCCGCTGCTTCTCACGTTCGGACCACCTGGCCCTGCACACAAAGAGACACCAGAGCCACGGAGCCCCTTAGCTGCAACCTCATGGCTTCTACCAAACGTGGGGGAAAATGGAGTAAAAAAAGACAGCAGTTTATTCTATTTACTCTCAATAGAGACAATTTGATGTTCTGATCTGACACTATTTGACTTTTTTTCTAAGTGTCAAATCAGGTTGTTGCCTTACTACAAATATCTCATCAATGGAAGACTTATCAGTTAAAACTATTTAACCAGTTGTGTCCTTTTGAAAGCTTTATTTTGTTAATGCACAGATATGAACAGGTGACATTTTTATATCTGGACTGTTCATGGTGAAGATCATTTTAGCTTTTTGCTAAATTAGTTATGGTTTTATGTCTGTGACCTATGGAGAGTATTGGCAGTTAAGGAAAGCTGGACACGCTGGATGAAACACTTTGGTGTAGAGCACAGTTTTGTCATGCAGTCTGTGCATAGTCATATTTTGACTTTAATGCTGCCAGGTTCACAGGAAGATTTTTTTTTCCTTATTCAAAGGATAATGTTTGGTGTTAAATGACAATAGATAAGATTTTTTTTCTCCTTTTTTTGTCATACACTGTGTCACCAAAACATTTTAATGTAAAACAAAGATAACCTGAGTAAATATAGTCTTTGAAACGATGAGCAGTTTTCTTATCCATCCATTGTTTATACCTGTTTTTCTAAGTAGTGTGCAGCTGGTAGAATGAGGCAGGATACACCCCGGACAATTTGTTCATTTATCACAAGGCAACATGGAGACACACAGGACAAACAGCTATCCAAAGACACACTCAAAAGGGCAATTTAGAGTAACCAATAAACCAAGCATTTATATTTTAGGACTGTGGGTTGAAAGTCAGAGTACCCAGAAAGAAAATCTACACATGCAAAGGGGAGAGCATGCAAACTCCCAGGACCTGAGATTCCAACCCAGGACATTCTGGATACAAATGAACAGTGCTAACTGAGCCCACATGCAGCCAAAATACCACAATTGAGGGAAAACAAGATACCAACTTTGTCTTTTGGGAAAACTGTGATTAACCAGATTTTCTTGGTTCAGTTTCAGTCGCCACACCCAGGTTTGCTTACTGTCTGACCTGTAGAAAACAGAAATCATGTCTGAGAACATGAGGTAAGTTAAAATTACACTGAACTGCAAAAAATCAAACAATAGAACTAGTTAAAAAACGAGGTTTATACGAAATGTTAAAACTATTTTTAAGATGTTCAGAGTTCAGTTAACAAAGGGGGAGGCAGTTTTTAAACAAAATAGGCAATGAACATTGTTGAAACTAAAATACTCCAAGATTCATCCTGGATCTCACCAACATGGAGCAATATCTAAACTACTGCAGGCTAGGTGCATCAGCCTCAAATCTGTGCTCAAGAATAAACAATAGCAAAAAAGGTCTATGTAGAGGAAAGAAAGTTCCAAAACTAACACCACTGTCTATCTAAAATATCACAAAGTTCATTCAAGGTTACTGGGGGATCGTCAATATGATTTTTTTTTGGCAAATAGGATGTTTAACCAAGAACCTTATGCTTCCAAATAAGTGTTTTTCTGTTAAACCTCAGTTTAGACCATTTTAGAGTAAGTGCTGTCTATTGGAATGTGTTGGAGGGGGAGGATTTTTATTTTCTAAAACTGCAATATCAGGCAAAGTTTTTAAAACTGTACCTAACCCCGTCTAGCTGAAAGAGATTAAGATTCAGTGTGTATATATATATATATATATATATATATATATAGATAGATAGATAGATAGAAATAAGGACCTATCCATGCAGACTATCCATGTCTGCAATCTTTATAGAAAATAAAGTATAGATATTACATCAAAACTGTCACGTTGCAGATGAGTTTTCGGAAACTTATGCAACATCACAATTTAGATTAAACCGAAATCCGTTTTTAGCAGGAAGCAATTAAAATAGTAATCTTTGACCTTATCTCTCTCTATGACACCTTTGCAAAGAATGTATGACCCACTGTTATTAAAGGGTAATTAAAGATCACTTTTAAGGTTAGATCCAGTGTTAATTTTGAAAGTTTATTTTCATTTAGTTTGAGCCATTTTTAAAATAATTTTTAGATTCTAATTAGTCTTTTGTAGTCATTTTTTGTTTCAGTCAGTTCAATCTTATGAAATAATTAGTCAGATATTGTCTAAAAGATATAGTCATATATGAAAGAATTTTAGGTGATTCATGTTTGGGGAATTTCTAAATTACAGATATGGGAAATAAATTTACTCGTACTTTGCAAGAAAACACACATTTGGTTAGTTTAAAACTAGGCAGTAAAACTACATATAACTTGAGTAGTTTTGTCTGATATATATTAGTTAACAAATATGTCAGCCATTTTTTATTAAAATTCCTGTTTGACATTTAAGTTAGTTTTGATCTGAAAAGTTTTATCACCAAACCTAACAATTCTCCCTCCATGGCAGTTTCATATTGTTTAATTCTGAGCTTTTATTTTCTATCCAGTCTTTCTCTTTTCAGCTATTTCTGCTTTAAATCTGCTTGTGTGATTTTCCTATTACATGATCTAGTTTTTATGGAGACTTAAGCTGCCAGACAGATGACGTCACTGGTGTTTTAAACACCTGGTGGACTTAAAAAGCTGAAAATAAAGTCAGAAGTATGACTTACAGCTCATCTCTATCATGTTGGTTTGAAATTATAAAATCATTAGTTTTCTTGTCGGTTCAAGTCATGCATTATCTGGAATTTTATGATTAGTCTGATCTAAACCATTATTAGAACCGGTTTTAGACGCAATTGGGGCACACAACAAGATGTCCTCGTCTTTATTACAGTTTGCAAAAAGTGTGCTTGTGACATGAGTCATAGAGAGGGTTCCGACAAAGGGAGCCAAGAAAGCCAGAGAAGATGCCTGAGCTTGTTCTAAGAGTCAAGAGACGTACCTGCATGCAAGGACAAATTAATGCAAATTTTTTTCTGTACATATGACTCAACATGATTTTTACAGCATAACATCTAGGAACTGATAAATCTTGACTACAGTACAAACGAGGAATACTTTGTGGAGTCAGAATAGCTAGTAATCATCTAAATTCTTTAGCTGCTGACAAAAACATTCATCCAGATCTGATTATAATAGAGCAGAGTACAGGATGCTCAGGGTGTTTCCTTTAAACTGTAACCTGTTCTTGGAAACCGCATTGGCTTCATGCTGGGTTGGAGCATACCAGGTCTTAAAATATCGCTCTCTGTTAGTACAGGATTATAGCAACAAAGCAACGTGGTTTTATTCTGAGATTTATGATGTTTTACATAGAAGTATGAAAACATCAAAGCAAGAATGTGACTTCCAACTAGGTTAATTGATGCATTAAAAACACATACTCACTTTATATTGGCTATAGTTGAAAATGGTTCAGTTCAGGTGTGCAATGGCTCAACTGTTGGATGGGAAGTTATAGGTGGCGAAGATGACTGTAGTGGACTGATTGTCTCCTGACAGTTCCAATACTTAGATTTAACGCTTACTGATTCCTGGTTCATTTGGCTGTTTTAATCAGTTTTGTTTTTAAATGGACTTGTTTTTTTCTTTTTTATATTTTTTTTTGTCTCATTGTTTTCTATTTATGCTCAGAGCCTTTTCTCATATAAAAAATGCACATATTTGGGCTGAATCGAGCTGGTTGGAAAGTAGCTTCTTCAAGGTTTGACACCAATGAAATTAATGTGCTTCTTTGTCAGAGGGAGCATATTGTGGCCTCGTCAAATAATAATAAAAAAAAAACATAAAGCCTTAAGCCAAAAGTTTTATTTACATATATAATAGCTTTTGCCTCCTAATAAAGTTGTCATTTAAAAAATTATTTTTCAGTTGGTCTGATATTAAGATTTATTAAAAGATTTGATACATTTTAAGTGTTATAAATAAAAGAAAAAAATAGAAGAGATCTATAATGGAGAGAAATACTTTTTTCAGGCCTGTTTTAACACATTTTGCTGCTGCTTTTTTATTTATTGTTGTTGATTAAGATCATATACTTCAGGGGGTGTTTCTGCAACTCCAGCATCTCACTTGCTGTACTCCACACTAATGGTTTCCATCAAATCCAGATTAGGTTTCTGAATGCCAGTGTGAGTACAGCTCTCAAATGTCACTCAAATGTGTCACTGAAACCGCATTCCATCCATCCCAATCATAGATAGCAAAGGGCTTCATCCCAGTAGTGTTACATACAAAATGCAACTTTATTAACCTTCATGCCTCCATTCATTTCAATATACATGTATATGTTTCAACTTATCTTAATTTCACAGCTCCATCCATATGAAAAAATACAGGAAAAAAAAAGGCAAAACACTGACTTGTTACTGAAACAACTTTTGGAGAAAATAAAACTGTAACAGGGGGAAAAAAAAGAGAAAGCAAAAGGACACCTGCTTTTAAAGTTTTTAAAAATACCAGGATTAAAAATGTCTTTTTTTTTCCCATTAGCAGAATCTCCCTTTTGAAAACAATATCACATTTTATTTTCTCACAGTAAGAATGAAAAGATCTGAATATATTTACACAACACTCACTTTACATAAATACAGGAACAACAATTACTGTACGGAATATTAGCAAACTTGAAACATAGGCATTGGCTTCACTACTAAAGTTTTCAAAACCAGAAAAATGAAATACGATGTTACACTTAAATTAAAATATTTACTTAACTGATTGAACGCCTCAAATCATCAGCGAAGGCATCAATTTACCCAGCTGTGGGTTTGATTCCTCATGGCCTAATATGAAATCACTGTGCTGAAGCTGAAACATCCAGAGGTCTTTGTAACTCCGGTTTATTGCCCTTATGGAGAGGGACTTATTGCAGCCAAAGTAATGTGTGCTTCAAACTGGTGTTATTGTGGGACACTGCGTTTGACACTGTGATATATAAGGCTCAGTGCGAAGGATAGGTTCAACATTAGAGGTCCGACTTGCATATTGTTGTCTGTGCTTTTTATCCCCAAAATAATATCAATAATAAAAAGAAATCACTGTTTCTCCTTTTGAAATGTAGCAGTTGAAGAACAAGGGTTGGAATCATAACGCTGCACACAGCGGTTGATATTACAAGTTTGTGGTATGAGGCACTATTTATCATTATTGCATAACTTTGACCCTGGTTACCGTAACAAAATTATGCTTTAAAAGGAGCAAAGAGATGGTGTGTGTGTGTGTGTGTTGGGATGGGGGGGATTAGGAAAACAATACACCCTGCCTCCGTGGAGACATCATCAAGTCTAATTGAACTGTTTAAACACTGGTGTATTAAGGCATCCGACATCATAAAAGGATATACGGAATAAAAAGTAAATGTGTTGATATGTGAGATTGATTTGTGTATGTTTTTATTTTTATCAGGGTACAGTTGAAATCAGATGTTTAACTACACTGGATTATAGGACACAAATGCTGTATCTATGATTAGGTCAGACTGAACTTTTAATAAGCCGATTAACTAGGATTGCCAAAATTATTTCTATTTTTTTTTACAAATTTTTTATGACTTTTTTGAAAAACTTACTAACAGTTCAAGCAATTTCGAAAAGCCCACAGTATGTTATGGCTTTGGAAGCTTACGTTGATTGATTCAAAGCAGCTCAAAAACATTGCTTTCATGCGTGCTATGATGGAAAAAACAAAAGTATTATAGTACCAGAAAATATTAGCCAAATGATCAGCCTGGTTAGCCCTTCAGATACGATTGTTCCTTTGTGGTATAAATAACAGGTGATTTTTTACACATCATACCGTTAAAACGAACCGTTCCTGTGTCCCAGGGGTGAATATGTTTTGGTGCTTAATGTGATTTTTAACTAAGGCAAAATAAAGTGTGAATAAAGAAAAGTTTTTTACTAACATGGGCTGAAAGGCCACTTGGCAAACAAGAAGCAATCAATCCAAAAGCAATATAAAAAGCCAGATTTCCATTTGGAAAGGAACACAGCGATTGAAACTTTAATAGTCAAAGACGTGATCTGATGAAACAAGAGCGTTTGGCCATAATGACCATTGTTACGATTGGCGGATGAGGGTACAAAAATGGCAGCTTCAGGCTGCAGGTCTGGTCAAGTAACACTGAAAGGTAAAAACGGGTCATCCAGATGAATAATCATCTTAAACATCCAGCTGGATAAGTTAGAGGGTGGCTTAACAATGACAGTCAATATTATTGAGGGTTGCCAACACATACCTTTGATCTCAATCCCTTAGAAAATTAGCGGGAAGAGCTGAAAGGCAGCCAACGAACCTGACCCTGTTGGACTGGTTCTATGAATAGGAATAAGTCAAAATTCCTGTAACGACTATAATAAACTTCTGGCAGGTCACCAGATAAAAGCCTATTCTACCAAATACAAAGGAGTTTAATAAAATAAGGTGAAAAATATATATTTTAAAAATGCTTCCTCGTTATTCTCGCCTTTTAGCAAATAGAAATAATTATTTTAAACCCAAGTGACCTAAAAAAAAAAGAATAATTTGATCTCATTTACCATGAAAAACTGGAAAAAAAAGAATGTGTATGTAAATATCTGGTTTCAACTGTATGATAGTAAAATGGCAACAGGGGCAATCAAGTACCTTAATACAGTCAGTGTATATAAATAATTAGTTGTTTATAGCAAACACCGATTTTGCCTTATAAAATAAAAAAAGGACAATTTGACCATGAATTTGTCTAAATCCAAGCCAGAAAAATAAAAGAAATCAAATTTCTATATAACATCACACATGATCATTTACATGATGAACACCTTTAGCCCGTTTTAACTGTATATCAAATTAGATAAATTACGGTCTCAGAAAAAAAGACTTTACGTGTATAAATGTATCTGCTGCATCTACAAATCGAAAGCCCTATTTCTCCATTGTATGCACAGGTTGTAGAACTTTGTAATAGCTTTGTATCTACACTATCACATATATTACAACATTTCAAAAAATCATTATTTTTTTTCGACATTGGAGAAAGAGTTACAAGCCGTCCCATGAAGTGCCCCTCGATCATAAAAAAATTGTCTTAATACATTATACGGATGATAAAATATGATTATTTTGTTCAGAAATTGACATCTGGAATAAAATATCTGAAAGTCATCTCGATAAACAAAGAAGGTGCTAATATGCTTTTGCCAAAATGATAATATAATTGGGTGTAATGACATGTGCACAAATAATATACATAAATAAAGAACATACAAGAGGGATGCAAAAACTCTATGGAAACTGTTCCCTGGGTTTGGCTTCTTTACTAAAAGTGAGAGCTTTCAAGTGTGCATGTGTGTGTCTGTGTGGAGGCGTTAGTGTATGAGTGTATGGATTTCAAGATACCTTAATCAAAAGGTTGTTGTGTCTTCTTACTGGCTTCTGTCCAATAACTGCATTTGGCAGAACCATCGAATAACATTGGTTGGCTCTGTACCTAAAGTTTGAAGCTTTTAAACAGCATAAAGAGCACTGGATATACTTGAAAAAAGAAAACGAAACGCCTGCCTTCAGACTATAAAAATACACTTTTAATTTGATTCCCTGATTGAGGTCAAGTGATGTGATATTTCTGCCAGTAACAGCATCTAAGATCTTCCTCCTTGATATAATGTAGGGATTAATATCTGTGTTTTGTGCAGTGCATTGCAAAAGTACTCGGACTCCTTGAACTTTCTCAAATTTGACTATATTACAACCACAATTCTGTATATTTTGTATTAGTTTTAATGTGTAGACTGACTCAAAGTAGCAGATAATAACAAAGTGGGAGTAAAGTGATGACCCTTCCTAAACTTTTATCATCAAGAAAGTGTGCTGATGTATTCAGCTGCCTCTACCATAATGCCCTCTAATAGTGTGCCTTCAGATGTCACCTAGTTAGTAAATAGAGTTCATCTTTATCTTAGAATAAATGCATATTCTATATTAGGGCCTAAGCATGTTCTTAGAGAACACTGGTGAGATCAGCTTAATGAATACAAAGGAACAGACCAGATAGGCCAAGGAGAAATATGTGTTCAAAGTAGGGCTTGATTCTTAAAAAAGGATCACAAGCTTTGAATATATTTAAAGAAATGTTCAATATATAAAATTGGAAAGAGAGAAATTAAACTGCAGATCTACAGTTAAACACTGCATTAATGAGAGGAGCTGCAGAGAGGTGCATAGCTTCTCTTAAGGAGCTGCAGAGAAACGCAGATCAGGTGAGAGAATCTGTTAACAAAATAACCATTAGCAAACATGTGAGAGAAGATGCCCTGGCTAAATGACATCAAAATCAACCCCACCCAATTCTAGAAAAAATGCTACCTTATCTTCTCTCTTAAACATGGTAGTGGCAGCATTATTCTGAGGGGTATTTTTCTCTCAACAGTAAATGTAAAAACTGGATTAAGCTAAAACTACCCAAAAATAGCTTTTAAGGGGCTGCCAAAGACTTAAGCCTCTGGAGGTTCACCATCCAGCAGGACAACACAACCCTACACATACAGAGCTCCAGTTTGTATGTTAAAATGGACAAGTCAATATCCAGATATAGGTCCGATTGAGATTTTCTATGGCAAGACATCGAAAACTGAATACTCTCCATCGAATCGAAAGTATTTTACCAATTATGAGCACATATTTCAACCTCCAGATGTGCAAAGCTATTTTTTCTACAAAGTACTTCTAAATCAGAGATGCTGAAGACATACAAACTCTCACTTTTCAGATCTTTATTAATTTACAAAAGAATTATATTTATCAATTACTTCTACTTGACAACTACGTGCTACAAATTGTGTAGGTCTATGACAAAGAAATCCAACAAAATGCACTGATTTTTTGTCATTGTAACGTAACAAAATGTGAAACAGTTCAAGGATTTAGACTATTGCAAGGCACCATATGTATATATGGTATTCTGTATGTTACTAGGTGTGCAACTCCTGCATTTTGAACACCAAACTTTTGGTAAATAACCAACAAAACTGCCCAAAGTGAGGTGAGAACATTTCAAGCAATGTTTATGTAAAATATAAATAAAAAAATGTCAGATGATGTGGGATAAATGACCAGCTGAGAATTCACTTTGTGACTCAGATATTCAGAAACAGAGCGAGGCTGACCTGGTTGACATCAACAAAGATTTTAGATCAGAATGTATTGCTCTTCTGTGTGCAAGATTTTCTCTGTCAATCTCCAGCTGGTGTCAGTGACAGCTTGTGGTGAAGGGGCGCCTTGCTGTATGAAAACTACCAAACAAATTCCTTGTTTCGGTTTGATTTCATTGGAGGAAAAGTGGGTTGACTGATGAGCACAGGTGAATGGGGACAGGATGAAAGTCCCTAAGGTGCCTCTGTTGGTTTTCTTTTTCCACAGACTCTCCTCCGATTGTTTCAAGGTTCGCTGTACACAAGGGGGTTGTATTTGTCAGAATTAAGCATAAGCAATAAGCAGGTATTAAAAAAAAAAAGCAAGATTCAATAAAGAAAACTTTTTTATACTGAAAGTTTATATATATATATTTATATATATTCTTTAAGATTGCACTTTACTGATTGCTAATCACAGCTCAAAATCCACATAAGATTTGCTTGAAGAAAATTATTTTAAGAGGCTCAAAATAAAGAAAAGCACTGATGAAGAATGGGGTTTGTCCAATGTCCATGTGATAAAATGGTGCGTCTTTGCTGGTGTGATGATTAGGCATGTCCAGGTTCTGCTGTTTTGGAAAAAAGCAGCTAATGGTTGACTGGGTGGATGTGGGGATGAAGATGGATCCAGGTGAAGATATTTGCACTTTGCTTGGTGGAAAATGTGAAAGCCCAACCCTCCTTCAGCTTCTGAAAGAAAACGTAATTGCTAAGAAAACCTGTGATCAAACACTGCCCTCTGCTGGCCATGTGTTAAACTCACAGGGGGGGCAAGCAAAACAATACTGTCTCTGTAATTCCAACTCAGGCCAAGTCTTTCTTGTGGAAATCCGCTCCAGCTCTGATTTCAAAGGGGTCTTTCACATTTTGCATGCTGGAAAAGCAGCTGTAATGTAAAGTGAGTAAAATCCAAATTTAAAGAGTGCCACTTCATCCTAAAAATCAAAGTGAAACATCACCAAACAGTGCTGCTCATAACAGTTCCCTATTTTTCGCCGATGATGGTTAAAGATCCTGTCATCGCTTCCTATTAATCCAAAAGGATCCAGAAGTCCCCTTGTTTTCTGCTCCGACCATCCATCCAGCTTCTCAATCTCAGGATGCCAGCGTGTGTATGTGTGTGTGTGCTCATCTGTGTTTGATTTTGGGCGTCCAGGCCTGCTGAAGAACATTCAAAGGGAGATCCTGCTCCCTTGGCTGCCTGTGTGTGTACGTGTGGATGTGTCTGCTCCGCTGACATCTTCTCTTAATCGCCCGTGTTGTGCTTTACACCAGCATGTGTCTCCGTCGGTGCAGGGCTAAGTGGTCGGATCTGGAGAAGCTGCGGTCACAGTCTGCGCATTTGAAGGGCTTGACCCCCGTGTGTTTCCTGTAATGCCTTGTCAGCTCGTCGGAGCGGGCGAACTTCCAGGTGCAGCCGTCCCAGGTGCATTTGTATGGCTTTTCCCCTGCAGAGAAGAGCATCAGAAAGGAGAGTCAAGCCTTCCATACAATTAAGAAGACAATTGAACCACTGATCAGGCAGAACGTTATGGCTGCAGATGATTATAAGCCCTAAGGTGTCTCCAGCACATCCAGCAGAAGCTAAGCTAATTGTAGGGATATTTATTAGTAGTTCCTCATACTATCCCTGAACTGCCTTTGCTCTGTGACAACAATGCTAACAATCATAATGTTGTTTATTACCAACCAATTTAGTCTGCGGAAAATGTAGTAATAACTCCCCCTGTATGACCAACACGAAAACAGAAATCAGTGACATTATTCGTTAACGAATAAAAAACAGATAAAACTGATTTTTTTATCCATTCTATAGCAATAAAAATGGGTTTCATATCTGTTTTACTAACAATATAGATTTTACCAATCAACAGTGTACTTCATTCATTACCATTTACAACACACTAAACAACTGTGAGTCACTTTTGAGGTATTTCTAATGTGCCTTGATTTTTTAGGAAAATCTTATTAAAACTAAGAAATTTCGACATATTATCTTATATCCCATTGGCCTTTATTATTATTTGTAGCATAGCTTTTAACCTGCTTCATTTGTTTAAATAATATCATTATTTAGGCAAATATCACTATAGTCCAAAAAGTTTCAAAGGGCATCTTTGGATCATTTATCATTGGATAAATGCAGGCAGAGTCAATCTGAGGTTATTTCTATATGGGAATGCTTTAATGACCAACATAAAAAACACATTTTTGTTTTTTGGTAAAATGTCAGCAAATTAAAAAAGGCACTCATTTACCAATGAGTGTCTAATATTTCTAAAGAACCTTTTCTAAAGCCTCAAGCTACTGTACTTGAATAATTTACGAGTCAAGCTTCCTCTGACCCACTTTTTGTTGAAGTTGCCTCAACTTTAAAAAGCAAAGAAGAAAAAAAAGAACAGCATCTGTGTCTGAATCTTTGGTTAAATAGACTGATCCACCATTAGTTTGTGGGGTTTATTCATCATTTTTAGTGGTACCCCATATTTAAGGTGTGCTTAAAACAAAAAGGATAATTTATTGCTAAATACGGTGAATACAATATGAAATTTAAGTGTGCTCATTAATTAAGAAAAAATATATCATGTTACTGCATGATAACAGTTTTATTGTATTCTTTACAAATCCCTTTTTTTCAACCAATAATAGAATCCCTAAAATCATCTGCAAAATAAATGTACTTAAATGTATATTTTATTTTTTCTTCACTTTTTGGATGTGGTGAACCTTTAATTAGAAATAAATGATTTCCCATTATTGGGGTATAAATATATAATATAACATCTTTGAGCTGTTATTCAAAAAGGCAAAGATATATAAAACATACCATTAACTTGAGGTGGATGTGTGTTGATCAGTCACTAAACAAAAATCAAAGTGCGTATGTGATTTGATCCTCAGCCAATAATGTCTAAGGATGGGAAAACATTCAGAGATGCATTTAAAGTATGTTAAAAAATGTTTTTATTTTTTTCTATTTATTTTCTATTAAATGTGCTTTCTAATAATGTAGCATTAGGATTGGAGAGATAAGTTTATAGCACGGTTGACCTGTTTTGAAAAAAAGTGGAAAAAATTCCAATTAGGTCTATTAGGAGAAATCTCAACAAGCTTGGATAAAGTAAAGCATATTTAGAATCAATGGATTTATGATGTTGAGAATAAAGTTCATATACTTAGAGAAATGGAAAATACTTCTAACGAGAGGACTATTATATACAAACGAGGTCAATACTCAAAAAGAGCTAATATGCTGTGCATTTTTTTCTTAGATTTTTTGCACTTTAAGCTCAACTGACCATTAAATCTTGTATCCTTACTGGTAATAAGTCAAATATTTTTAAATCCACAATAGGATGTAAAGATTTCATCATCGTATGACTTTAAGATAATTTAAATCTCACCCATCTTAGTAGGGGTGAAACAATTAATGGGATTAATTGATTATTGAAATAATCACCAACTAATTTAGTAATCGATTATTCATTAACTGGAGTACAGAGACTCTATAACATGCCTTTAGCTGACAGAGAAACCCACTTCATGCAGTAATTGCAAGAAAAATGTAAAAAATATATATCAATATTTTGCATTTAAGATTAAAAAAAACTTTTTTGTCTATTAATATACTTTATCCAGAACTCCACAATTGGAAAAGTGGAGTTTGACCTAGTTTAATCATGTAAAAAGTCATCTTTAAGGAACCTTTTGCTATCCGATTATTATTATCGATTAATCAAAAAAATAATTTACGGATTAATCAATTTGCAAAATGATCGTTAGCTGGAGCCCTGCATCTTAGAACTGAGGAGAATCAACACTATTCAATAATATATACATATATATATAAAACAGAAAGCAGAGTGGACTGACCTGTATGCGTCCTCCGATGCGCTTTTAAATGGGAGCTTTTGGTGTACACTTTATTGCAGCCCTCAAAGTCACATCTGTGGATTCTTCGCTTCTTTGAGTCTGGTGACTCTGACCTCCGAGGGCGTCGGATGCTGTCAATACTGAACGGCGACATGGAGCTGTAAGACAGATGACACTCATCAGAAAAAAATCCCTTTAGAGAATTATAACGCTGTGATGAGAATAGCAGCAGCACTGTGATGTAAAAGCTCACACAGCGGTGATTCCTGAGTTCATGAAGACAAGGGACATGTTTCTGTTTAAAATGATGCAAGAAGGTGAAATATTAAAGGAATGTAGTCCATCTTTAAATGCAAACGTTACAAAAGTTAAATAAAAAAAAAAACAGATGTCCCCTTGGGTATATCGACCTTACTGTTTGCAACAGTCTGCAAACTGCAAAATAACTGCCTTCTTTCTAGCCATTTTTTATTAGATGATTGTGTCATTTACCATCAAAAACAAAAATCTTGTTTATAGGCATGAATGAAAATATAAATAATTTAGAAGATATCTATGCAGAGATCAAGAGAAAAATCTGGTTCTGCAGAAAGGTTCAGTAAAACAGGGTGGTGTACTCCTAAAAACAAGAGTTTTATCAAATTAATGTCTAAACCTCTTACATAATACATCAAATTGGCCAATATTAGCAATGAATCAGAGAAAAGAACGGCTGTGAGTTCAAGCTGTTTTATTTAAAGTTTATTTATATACACAGTAAACTTTGCATTTACAGAAAAAAAATCAGTAGTCATAATAATTTTCAATTATTTCAATGACAATAATCATTTCCTAAGTTTTTTTTATACTATTTCAGTTTTTAATTTAAATGTATGTTTGATTATCCTGTAGTATGTTGCACTGATTTACATCTGCTTTTTGATTTGAGCTGCTTAGTCTCAGTCCAATATTGTTTTATGTAAAAACATTTTCAATTTCCTCTTCTAGAATGAATACATTGTAGAAATAGAATTATAAACAATAATAAATGTCAGAAATAAACATATATGTTGGGAATGGGTATTTAAGGGAAAAGAGATTAGAAGAGGTATCAAATTATGTTCCTCTTATATGATGTTAGCACTTTTTATTGACATCAATCTTCTATTGCATATGTAGCAAACCTACAGAAGGCAGGTCAGTAGTTTAGAGAGAAGCTGAGGTGAAGCTTTGCCAGTAGGTGGCAGTACGACTCTGCAGAAGAGTATCTGTGAGGCAGCAGCTGAGTTCAAGCCTTTTGGGTCAGCAGGAATAGTACAGTCTCTTCTTCCATTCTTGTCCAGTAATTCAAATACTTCCCTGATTAGTTCATGACACTAAATTAGGTGTGGATTTGTTGATTTTTCATTGCTAAAAAGGAAAACCCTAAGTCAGTAAATAGAGTTAGACTAAATGTTTAAAGTAAGTCTAAATTTAATCCCCGATTGTCAAAATTAGTCTTTACACAGTGAAGTGTAAAAGAGACAAAGGGTTGACTTAGATGGTGAGGACTTCATGCCTTGCCTGGGACAGTTGGCTGCAGAACAGAGCACCTTTCACTAAACGCTAAACACATGACTGCAGCACACACCCAGCCCAGAACCAGAGGCAGGAGATACACTACAGGGAGACAACAAGACAGTCTCTGTTTACTTAAGGGGAGGAGTAATATCTGTGAAATATATTTACCAGAGGAGTTTATGCTGTAGTGGGGCAGGTGAGGAGGGGGGTGGGGGTGTGGGGAGAAAGGAAGCACAGCTCTGATCAAGTTAAAAGGGTTGAGAAGAGGATCAGAGGCTGCCAGACAGGCCCTCCTGTGAACTGTCTCCGCCACACACAATCCACTTCCTGTCTTGCTGTCTTTCACCAAAAGCATGAGCTGTCAAACACAGGCTCAGCCGTACAGCACAGCCGTACAGTGTGAGAAACACACAGAGATAGAAACGCAGCCATGTAAAACACCAAGCCACACTCCCACACACCATTACAAATCACCTGTTACTCTTGGCTTTCTACCAACCAGAAGCTGTACAGGAAATGAGCGCACGGGTCAGATATGAAACAAACTCATACTACCCTCTCTCTCTTTCTTACTCCGTTGCTCCCTCTGGGCTCGCAAACCGCGCGGAAACCAGATGTGAAAACTGTGCATTTAGACCAGAAACATACATTTGTGATGTCATGATACATCATCTAGTAGAAAAACCCATAAGTATTCATACCCTTTGAAAACATTTCTTAAATACTTTCAAGTTAGCTTCAAAAACTTGAATTGAAAGAAGAACACATTTTGATAAAAAGAAGGAAAAGAGTCTATTATTTTTTGCCCTTTTTTAGAAAACACAGCTGCTGTAATCTAATACCGCTAAATAAAAGCCTTGTGCAAAAATGTACTGAGAGGTAATATAATAGTCCAGGAGGCTCTAATCTGATGGAAAATAATATCTCTGTAACAGAAAACTTACTAAAACTCATGAAACTGAACAAACCAATGATGGCAGCGTCATACTGTGGGGTTGGTATTTATACAGAGACAAGGAAGCTGAACTTTGGTTTATTACAGAATAATCATAGCATAGAAATATAGCCAGAGTCTGTACTAAGATCTAATTCAGAGTCTGCAAGTTCAGTTTAGAGTTGCTCTCTGTCTAATCTTACTGACTCTAATTTTCCAAAGATAAATTTACACAAAGTGGAAACATATTTAAAAACATATTTTAAAAAACTTGCAACTCTAATCTTAACATTGACTCAGGGGGGCTTAATGCAAATGCACACTGTGCTTTTACTGTTCATTTTTCTAAATAAAATCTAGAAATGTTTGTTTTCCTTCTACTTCACAATCATGTGACAAAATGTAAACAAGTTGAAGAAGTCTGATTCTTTATTTGCAGTGGACCAGCATTTAGCAAGTGTGCTAGACTACATGAGGGAGTGTGTCTGCTGGGGAAAAGTGAAGCAAGGAGCCAGGATTTACAATGGAAACACTCTAGGCTCAGACACCGAACAGATCAGGCAGATGTTTATATTCTGACTTCATCCTGACTTCATGATTACAATATAATGCAGAAAAATCTAAATCTCTTCATTCTGCTCGGTCTCTCTTTCGATAAGCAGATTCATCAATAAACACATCATTTTTCTCCAGCAGATTATGTCATTGGTGTGGCTGTGTTTCAAGAGCTCAGTAACAAAGGTCATGTTTGCGCATGTTCGATATTTATGTCCCATTCAAGAGTTCACAGCTGCTTTTTCACAGGATTTAACATAACTTTATAAGGACTAATAATGAGAGATCTATTACTTTTTTCTCACTAACATCCTGCTTTTTGTTTCATCCCGCATGAAAAGTGGAATATTTTGGTTCAGCATTGTTGGTCAGACTAAAATGTACTCTGCTGGATGGAATAACAAGGAGTGGAAAAGTTGTGCAATGCAAAAAAGGAAAAAACAAACGCAATAATTTGTTTTGCCCTTTTAGGGCCAGTTTTAAGTAATTCAAATGAAAAGATCATAAAGATATAAGGTGATATTAACAAATAATTTGGCATTTTACCGATCAGAGACATTAACTACTGAAAAAAATAGTGATTTAGTAAACGTGAGGAGTGAGTTCAAAAAGCCAAACTGAGCTGCAGGGATGTACAGTCCCTCAGCTCTGTGGTCACTACATGAGCTCAAAAACACGTCTGACAACAGCTGACTCTCACCACAGGTTGTTGCTGCTTTAAAAAAGTAGACATCTTCAAAATATAAAAGCTAATAACATAAAGTAAAACACTTTACTTTCATTTTGTCACATTATTACCTCAAACTTTAGTGGATTTAATTAACATTAAATCAAAGAGTCAAATACAAGGCAGCACATTATTGTGAAGTGAAAGAAATAAAAATAAATGGGAAAATCTGAAAAGTGTGGAGTGCATTTAGCCTCTTTTTTATTAAGATATCACTTAATACATTTTAGTGCAACCAGAAAAGCAGGGTTGGCTTAGTAAAAGCTTTGAAAACTTCAGAAATTCATCATCATGTTAAACAGGAGGGCATGGTACAACCCTACCCTTACCAAAGCATGGCCGTCCACCTAAACTCACAGCCCGTGCATTTATCACAGAGGCAAGCAAGACACCGAGGGTAACCCTGGGGAAAAATACAACTTAGCTAGAATGATCTGTCAACAGAATCACTATTAGTTAAACAATCCACAAACATGGTCTTGGTGTTATCAAAATAATTATAGGAGGAAACAGTTTGAAACAAGTCATAGGCGAAGGAAAACATGTTGAAGAAGGTGCTGCCCTCAGATGAGACTATCTGACCTGCATTCACAAAGCTCTGGGTGAGCAAAAACTAAAGACCCTGAAGGCACCATCTTCATGGTGAAACTTATACCCCTTTCACACTGAAAAAAAACATCTAAAACTGGTTCACAATCGGCTTTTAGTGGCAGTGGGAACAGCTCACTGACGCGTGTCTACCCAGGTCAAACGACTCGGCAAGTGCCCCGCGTTAAAATCGCATGGGCTTTAATCTGCATGCAGGGGGAACACCAGAGCCGGGTTGATCCACTAAATTATGTGATGCCTTTGAGTGCATCGTACATATGTTACAATATCACGCCAGTCATGTGTTAAATAACGAGCCCAAACAACTCTGCTTTTATTCAAGAAATATGGCACAGCATTGGAAAGGTGGAGGGATTTGTCAACTCCTTAAGATCCGCGGAGACATGCATGCGGGGACAGTGCCCACTCAGCTGGCTAGCAGGGGGTCAGACTCGGCTTTTTGTTCAAATGGGATAAGAGCCAAAAGCCGATTGTCAGCGGGTCTACCTGGTTTTGAAAAACCCGGGTTTTCAGAGTGAAAGCGGCTATAGTGGTGGCAGCATCATGCAGTGTGGGTGCTTTTCTATAACATCTACAGGTTAGCGAGTCAGAGTTCATGTGTAGAGGCTTGGCGGTAAATACATGGTAAACCTAGAAGTTTCCACAGAAGGAATTTAAAGTAGCACAAAGGTAGGATATGAGAGAAAACAAGCAACCAGAGCTAAAGTGGAATGGTCTTCTGACTTCTCTCATCATGACCCACTGTCCTTCTTTCTATCGAGGCAATGAGCAGTTCTTTTAGGTTGTGTTGGAAA